TCCTAAAAAATAATGGATTGAAGAAATCGTCTGACGAGAACGTTTACGTTTACGTAGTTCTTTTAGCCATTTGCTCTTTAAAGGGGTTAGCAGTTTTTTGTGCATAGCATTGCAAACGAGTAGTCGGATCACCTGATGGTAAGCAAACGGCACCGCTCATGGACACTCGCAAAGACACACGCAACACCAGAATAATATAAACAAGTGCGTTGCCCCGGTTGCCCGTGTTGCCACACTCTCTAAGCCCTAATGAATTGAGGATTAGGTATAGAGGGGGTGGCAGGTGGATTATTTTAACTCCAGTTCTTCAGCTCACTCATACGACTCACATTTTTCCATGTAACACAGACTTCATATCCGTTACCTAATTATATGAGCACGAGAAATCTGCCTACTAAAATGAATTTTTGAACAACCGAAAAATACTCGACATTACTCTGCACAACTCGGAAGTAGCATCTGCGATACCGAATTAGGCAGTCACATTTGAGAGTTTGAGACTACTCTTCGCTTTGAGTGTCCTCACGTGAACCTCATGAGTAGGTAGGTAGGTGGTGACATGACATTCCTCATCACGATCTGAATTAGCCAACAAACTCAACTGTTGTCTTTAATGAAATGAAATTATGGAACTATAATTATAAGTAGGTATGCTTATTTGTCGTATGAACACAGGGTATAATACTTTGAAATCAGACCTGATTTACTGCAGGCACAAGAAGCCGCGAAAATATTAATTTAATACTTTTCTACAAAATTACAAAATTATGAAGACTATTTCTAAAAACAGCATAACTAAATAATTCTTGAAAACGACAGACCCACAAAATAAAACAAAGTAAATAATAGAAACAATTATTATATTAAAACAGTAATTTACAGACTAGTATAAAAAATAGCCAAAGCTAGCACTGAGCAATATCATTTGTGACTTTTAATAATAAAAATAGTAAATAATATTTCATTTGTATCAGTATAAGTAATAGCTGTTATACATATAAATTCTAATAAGACAGTTCTAGGCATTTGCACTGTGTGCTAGAAGTGGTAACTGAGTTACCATAAAACTTAAAACTAGAACTAAATATGATGGGTAAACTGCTTCGGAGCTACACTATCATTTGTATTCTTGTATCTGATTTCTTTAATTGTCAATTGTTTTCCTTGGTGTATTCTTTGCAGATGGCTCCTCATATCATATGAACGTGAAAATGATCGGTGACAGACAGGGCATTGTGTTTTTCCAGCATGAGAGTCCTTGTGCAAAGTCAGTGATGTAGGGTGCTTGAAACCTTTTGGACACAGTTGGCATCGGAATTTCGCAAGTTCTGATTCTGTAACGTGAATAATAATTTTATTAGTTAATTAATGTAACATCACACCTACTATCCACAAATGGGTAGGCAGAGGTGCACATTATGGCACTTAATGTCTCTGTACAATGAAACCGTGTAATAGGAGTGAGCCTATTGTCACATACTGGGCACAATTCCAGACTCCATACTACTACTGAGATTTTTTGAAAAGCCCAGTAATATTTCGCCCCACTCGGGAATCGAACCTGAGACCCCTAGCAGTCACACTTGCAACCACTCAGCCAAAGAGGTAGTGAATTAAATCATTTTTTATTATACATTTTTGAATTTTCAGTTTAAAGATATTGATTTTGAATTTAAATTATTTTGCAAAAATAACAATTACTTCTTTCTCTGAAATCACTAATACAGTTTGCAGAGGAATGTTGATTATAGACTTTCCATGAAATATTATAGTGATAATGATAAGGATTAAAGATAATACAAACTACTATTAAGCCAAGCCCATTCATTCAAAAAACAATTATTATATTTAGGAATAAATGTTTAACAATACCCGATACATAATTATTATTTAAAACACTTGTGTACACTAGTTATTGCCATATAAATACTAACCGGAATTCGTTTTTTCTGAGGATGACAAATCCTCAACAGAAGTAGACTGTGTATCAATTTGCATCTCTTCACCACTAGATGGTGTTGTTTTCAATTTGACATTATCGTCAGACTTTGAAGGTTCCGGTTGCATTTCAACATTGCCATTCTCTTGTTCTGGAATACCTCTATTTAGATTGCTGGTCATTGACACAGGTTGTGGAATGTTGTACTCTTCCCTAGTAGTCTGCATAGTAGCTAAGTTTATTGGTTCATCAGATAAAACAGGCACAATATCATCAGTCATTCTACTCGATTTGGAACTTAAATCTAAAGAGGTGTTGTCTGTAATCCGCAGCTGTGCTTTAGATGATTCATCCTCCAAGTTATCAGTCAAACCCTTAACCTCTAAAAGCTCAGCAGTAATAAGGAATGATTCCAACTGTTCTTGAAATATGTTTACCTCACCATGGTACATGAAGTTGATAATTGCATTGAGGTCCTCGAATTTGAAGTTCCTGAATATTATTACAGGATGTTGACACGGGTTCTCTTTGAATATCTGTTTAAAGTAACTACTACAGGCGGACAACAACATTTTATGCGCTTTGATTTTACCTCCATCACAACAGAGTGTCACATCCACTAGGTCGTTTTCAAAACGGAGGACATTGAACGCTTCTGTTACGTGAGATACGTAATTATTCCAGCGCAATGAGAACTGCGGTGCATTATTCATTCTATAATGCCTTACAACAAACACACTGCTGAAATATTGAAAACACTTAATCTACTAACGAGTTTATCACTTTGTTGAGATAATCGACCGAATTTGATAAAGCACGGATTATTTCTATATTTTCCGTGTGAAAAGTTTAAGTTTCTCTTTCATTTACACCAAAAAAGTAAAATTATTTGTCAATCTTGTCAATACTTGAAATGTCAACAACCAGTAGCCAGAGGTAAATATACTTTGAGGAAAAAGAAAATGAACGCGGAAAAATGTAAAAATATTTCAGTGTCAAAAATATCAATTTTCTATCAATTTTTCTAGTAAGTTATATTATTATGGTAATATCTCAGGTTCAAGGGATTCTGAATCTGGTTTTGCCATCCAAATCTGATTACATTTGAATACCACAGACTTACAATAGATAAGCAGACCGAACATTAAACCATCTGTATTGTGGGGATGGCATATGCATCATGTCATGAGGGTCGATGGCGAAATGCGGCAGGTATCAGGTCAAACAATTCCTCAGAGCACTCCCCGTGGTATAAGCGATAGAAAATGTACGAAACGAGGCTACATCTCTATGCATTGCCAAAGTGTCTAGCGCCGGTTTGAAGCATCCCGACATCCAACAATCCGAACGGCACGCCAAAAAATGCGAAAACTAATAAACATATTGTTTTAATATTGAGTAATACTTACTACAAATTTACTTGTATAATTTAACATGTTTTTTTACAATTGTATTATAGTTGTTAGATTATATATCCACTGGAGGCCTTTGTCCAGCAGTGGACGACTTCCGGCTGTTGATGATGTATAAATTTTATCACAATTGCCTATTATCATGATTTCATGATTAATAATAATATCATCGTATACCTTAAGAAAATCGGAATGCTTAGAAATCTAGGTACTACAAAATTTAACAGGACAGAACAAAGAAATAATTTGTCTTGGAAGTGGTCAGTATTATTGAGGGCAGGGAGGTGACTATTCTTAACTTTATCATGTGCCTTTATAAAGATATTATTCTCCCTTTAACGTGTTTTATTTGATAAAATGATTTAATACTTACCTACGTATTAAACTGTCAAATACCAAGCGGTCACCGGTGACCGCAACCTATTGTTCTATAATTGTGTCTACAAAACCGGTACTCGACGAGTTAAATAATGTTTAAGATTATATTTTTTACAGTTCCTAAATACCTAGGTTCGGAATTATATATGTAAATGTTATAGGATTCTCATACATTTTCGGTAAAACATACCAACTAAAGTTTTAATAAAAATGGGTATTTATTATTATTCAACATAACATCACGCCTTTTATCCCGAAGGGGTTTATTATTATAATATAATTATTAATTATTATTATACAAT